AATCGTTGAAAAAAAAAAAAAACAACGACAAAGAAAAATCAGATCTAGAATTTTCCACATTAAAATAACCGAACTGTACTACACCGAAATGCATGATTTGGCTCGATTTATAATTTTACCTCGATATTCTATAAATTTAGAAATCAATTTGGTGCGATTCGTTACAAAACCCCATCGAACAAAAATACCAAAAACCTAACTTGTGAAAATAATAATCGAACTATAAAAAAGTCATATCGACAATTATCACACTAAAAAAGAAAAGGGCATCAAACCGAACAGAATTGCACAGTTTAGATCAATCATAGTAACTCATACTCATAGTACATGAAAGATTTAAGTAGTTGCTTCGGATCAAAACCTAATTAAGTGTAAATGGAGCTTGACTTGGAATTAATCACATTATAAATACATATTAAACAATCTTATAGAAGTAACATGAAATAATGTAGCTTATAAGAGGGTTTCTACTACATATTTCACAACTCTACATGCACGTGTTAGATTGATGAAGCAGGTAATAGACACTGTACAGCACCAAATCATAGTCAATTCATTAACAAAAATAAATAAATAAATAAATAGATAAAATAACAAAAAAAAAAAAAAAAAATCTTTTAAGCCAATGTCAACACTTTTGAAATAAGGGCAATTCCTTGTCAAAAGAGGGAAATCCGGCTGATGAGACAACTTGTACTAGAGACTTTCCTTCAACTGAAAAGCAACTGATAAGGGGAGATTTTCAGACATAATCTTGGTGTAGTGAAAGATTGTGCACAACAATACTATGATTGATCATTTTATATTCATCATCATATACTGTAGATGACTGTTGAGTTCGACCAGAAAAAGCTAATCATTTAGTAAAAATGTATGGAAAATATATTATGAATCGAAAGACAATGAAAAGCATGATTAATCAAAGTTTGAGCTATTAAATGAATGAAATTGTTCGTTAATTCTCTGCTCGATTTGTTAAGTAATCGAGCTCAACTTGGGTAATTTGATGAGCCAAGTTCAGTTTGTTTCGAAAATAGAATTTTTTTATGCCTATCATGTAAAAATAGTGTTTAATATAAGATCAAAATATGTACTGGATAATTAGATATTGGAGTGAATGCCAAAAGAAGTACTGCTAATCAACGCATCTTATAATTATATATCATCTAATTAACAAAAACTTCACTATTTCAAACTCCCAAATGTCAATTGATCTTTACATAAGGGCTTCTCTTGATCATTCCTCCAATTGAATCCAATCAAATAATTAGTCTTATGATTTAATGAAAAAAAAAAAAAATCCAGCTAGGTTTTAAACTAGTGGAGTTTATATTATTGTCCAATTTCTTAATGATCAAATTAATATATACCAAATAACTTTTTCATACCAAAAATTCTACTAAGACTAACTTGAGGGTTAGACTGATATATTGATAATATGAAATGTAATACTTTCAAACATTTGGATATAAAAAAAATATGTATATTTATAAAAGAAAATTAAAGTACAATTATTTAACAATTATGTCATTCTAACATGACATTTACTATTAATTACTTGCAATGTGTTAATTCAACAACTATCAAAATAGAATGCCAGACCAAAACCTGAAGAACAGCAACATTTTAATAAACTTTTCTTGCAAGAAAAAACAGGCACATAAACACCCAAACACAAAATGACACATATTATATTTACTAGTGCTTAATAGTATTATTCGTACCTTCCTTTTGCCAGTAGACAGTGACTCACATCATCATAAGTTAAATAAGTCAGAATGTAAGGTTTCTTGATTTCAGCAAAATGTACAATTGTTCCCCCAATGCAACAAATTCATATGGTCTATACATTTTCTTAACACTCCCCACAATTCTCCTGGCTGTTTTAGAATTCTACCAAATTATATCTAATAATGTTGTAGTCTTATAGACTAACCAAAATCCAATTGCAATTTATTATTTTCTCTTATAATTGAGAAAAAAAAAAAAAAAACTGTATAAANCGAACCGCATCATTGTTTACCTCGAGAAATTCAATTTGACAAGAAAATAAAGCATGGAAAAAAAAAAAAAAAAAAAAAAGAGTTTGTAACGGAAGAATTAAGAAGGAAAAAAAAAAGATTGTCTTGTAGTTCACCAACTCCGATAAGACAGATATTTTCAAGGATGAAAACCATGAATAAAGTTTGCACATAGTATGTGGACAAAATCTAAATCCACTACTTACTACTAAATAATCAGATTCTCCAACAAATAATTACTTAATTAGTCATTATAATTAATCACTATAAGAAAAATATTGCGAAAAAATCGACCAAAAATGCAATTAACTTATTCATCCACATAGCAAAATCTAAAAAATAAAAATAAAAATTCCAAAAAATCGATAAATCCAATACACATATGGTGTAACATATTGAACAACGTTTATTACCATTAATTACCTGTTGCTGGAGGGCAAAGATGTGGGCCACACATCCATGGACCGGATCACGAAGACGGGCTTGGGCCTCGTAGCATATCGTGACCACCGCATCCATCCGGCGGGCCTGCGGTATGTGGTGGAGCAGCTTTGACACGTTGCTGGCCCCAAACACCTTGTGGACCGCCGCAAAATGGGCCGCCCCTTGATCCGAGTCAAAATACGGGGCAAATATGCAACCCGCCACGCACTTCCTTCTTAGGAACTTGCATGCCCCGCACGGCCCGACGGAGGCGGCGCCGCCGCTTGAGCCGCCGCCGGAACTTCCGCCGGAGCCCGGCGCCAGGTTGGCAGTACTCATACGATGATTGATTCGGGTGGGATTTTTTATTGGCTTCAGTACGGTTTTTATTGAAAGGTTTTTTTTTTTTGGCNTCTTTTTTTTTTCTTTTTTTTTTGGGTTTGGGGAAATGGGAAAAAAATGATACTATTTTGTTTAGGGTTTGGTGTTATATGTTTGTTTGTTTATTTATTAATTTATTTTTTAATTTTATATGCAAAATGAATTATACTTTGAAGCCACGCGATGAAGCAAACTCGCATATAGATGCTTGCGTGAAGCAAACATGCGATAAGCCCACCTATCCCTTTTTCATTTTATTTATCTCGTGATTTTGCCACAACAAAACTCATGCCTCAAAAAGTCTATTTTTTCCTTTTTATCTCTTTTATGGCTATCTCGATCTATATTTTCATACACGTTGTTAGGCTGGTCTAACGATTAGTTATTAGTCTATTTTTTTCAACATATATATATATATACTTTGAAACTGAAATGTTATACACCTAAATTAATGTAAACAAAAAAAAATTTGTCATTTAGCAACATAAGTACAATATGCATACCTTATTAGAAAAGTATGAAGGGTCAATCTGCTTAATCGTTAAACTGTCTCACACAATAATTTGTGATTTTCAATGACGTGCAATGCACATGTACAAGAAATTATGTACGTATGTATATGTATGTATATATGTATGTACGTAAGTATATACGTATGTGTGATTATACATGATTGTAGTAGTGCACGTTCGATCTTATCTTATGAGTAGTGTTTTACGAAAATTTTAGTTGTCTCATCAACACGCATCCCTAAAATCTCATAAAATGAAGTTCAACTTATACTAAAAAATGACTAAATTAGATATATATTGTATAAAAAAAACAAGTAAGCAGTTGTTACTCGTTCGCGACTCAGGATGTGAACAAGTAAATTACGTCGACCATTTTCTTT